AGACAAAAAATTCCGAGCAATTTAGTTTTGGACAAAATAGGCAAAATAATTCGCAACAATCTAGAAGATATAATTCAGTTGAAAGGAGACAAAACCCCCCCAAACCGGTGGAAATAGATCACGTCCAAGAACAAGCAATTTTCGGTTGCCGGCCCAAAACAATTGTTACCGATAATAGAAGTGACCATAAAAAATTCAAAACTTAAATGTCTTATTGACACAGGGTCTACAACATCATTATTGAAATATAATATGTTAAATGATTATGAATGCATTGAGCTTGATAAACCAATACTCTTTGGAACCATTAAGGAAAATTTTTCCCTAAATAAAGAGTTAGTCACCCCAACCCCAACCGAATTCAATGAAAAAAGTTATATACATTGGAAACTAACCAACATGAAAAATAATAACTTTGATGCTATAATAGGACAGAATATTTTAAAACCTTTAAATTTATAAACTCATGCCCTTACAATTACGAAGATATTAATATACTTACAGAATGTAAAGAGAATTTGCTGGATATTTTGTCAAATAGTGACATGAATGAAGAAGAAAAGCTAAAGCTAGAATACATTCTTAAAGCAAATAGCGATTTTTTTTCCAAGAAGGTAAAAACCTTTCTCATACACATGAAATTGTTACAAAAACAAGTAGACCAACTTATAACAAAATTTATAGATCTCCCCAAATTCATGAAGAAGAAATTAGTAAACAGATGAACGAGATGTTGCGCCAAGATATAATTAAAGAAAGTAATTCCCCGTACAACTCGCCTCTTTAGATTGTACCGAAAAAGCAAGACAATTCAATGAAGAAAAAATGGAGAATAATTATTGACTACAGGAAGCTAAACGAAGTCACTATAGATGACAAATTTGCAATACCCCATATAGAAACAATACTCAGCAAACTTGGAAGAGCTCAGTATTTTACAACATTAGATCTTGCAAAGGCTTTCATCAAGTATTAATAAAAGAAAAAGATAGACCAAAAACAGCTTTCTCTACACCCCAAGGACACTTTGAATTTATAAGAATGCCTTTCGGACTAAAGAATGCACCAGCAACTTTGAAACGTTTAATGAATTCAGTTCTTAGGGAATATATCAATAAGATATGTGTAGTTTATTTAGACGGCATCTTAATTTTTAGTTCAAGTATTGAAGAACATACCCAAAATATCAACAAAATATTTTCAGCATTAAGAAAACATAATTTAAATATTCAGGTAGATAAATGCAAATTTTTCGCGAAAACAACTGAATTTCTAGGTCACACTTTAACAACAGAAGAGATACAACCAAATTTAAGCAAAATCGAAAACATACAAAAACTAAAGTGTCCTACTACATCAAAGCGAATTAACTCATTCCTAGGTATAACAGGTTATTATAGTAAGATATTACGCTAAAGTAGCACATGGTTTGACAAAATATTTAAAAAAGAATATTAAAATAAACACTCGCAATCCTCAGTATATATCATCCTTTGAAAAACTTAAAAATATCCAGACTTTAACAAAAAAGTTGGCATTTCAACTGATCCAAGTGACTTTGCAATTGGCGCAGTATTAACTCAGGACAGTCATCCTATAAGCTATGCTAGTTGAACACTTAACAAACACGAAAGAAGTTATTCCACTACAGAAAAGAACTACTAGCTATTGTCTGGGCAGTGACGTATTATAGACCATACATTTACGGCAGAGCATTTGATCTCTTAACCGATCACCAACCACTTAAGTGGCTCCAAATAAAAAACAAGGGAAGACATTAACCCACGATTGCAAAGATGGTTAATTAAACTAGGTAAATACAATATTAATATAAATTACGTGAAAGGAAAGGAAAATAACGTGTCTGATTTTCTAAGTAGAATAGATAGTAACACAGGCGAGATTCATTCATTGGAAGAAGACAACATAAGCACAAATGCTACAATTCACTCTCAAGAGGAGGAACTAAATGATCATTTTCCAATTTTACATACTATTGTAAATCGCTTCAATACACAAATCATTTTAACAAAAAAGAAATTATAGAATCTGAAGAACTAGGCAACACGAAGAAAATTTTTATTAGCGCACAAGATATAAAAAATAATAATTTCATAGATCTTTGTCGTAGGCATATAAATAGCGGAAAGTAGGTATTTTTTCTTATTTAACCGATAATCTGTACAATATAGTTCAGCAAAAGCTTATTCAAATATTTAATAGGCGGGTAAAGTTTTTTGGATGTGAATTCCATGCTAAAGATATGAAAAATGAAGAACAAGTTTATAAACAAATTGCTAAATATCATTAAAATTAAACAGGCCATGCAGGTATTAATGAAAATTATGCAAAATTGAAAAAACTAATATACTGGAAAAATTTGAAAGTTTTGATTCAAAAATATATAAATAATTGCTATGTTTGCAATAGAGCAAAATATGATAGAAAACCTTTAAAACCAAAATTTCAATTAACGAAAAAACCATCAGATATAAATGAAATAGTTCACGCAGGTATATACATAAATAAAAATGTTACTTCCTTACTTTAATAGACAAATTTGCGAAATTTGCCATAGCATCAGCTAGAAGATAGAAACAGTATAACTATTACAGAAAATCTTAGATTATTTTTTCTATCAAAAGAAGACCCAGCAAGTTAATATTAGATAATGAATTCAACTCAATTAACATAGAAGATTTTTTTAGGAAAGAAGAAATAGAAGTTCATTTTACAAAACCAAACAGTCATACTGGGAATTCAGATATCGAAAGATTTCATAATACTCTCTCCGAAAGAATTAGAGTCCTAGAAATTGAAAAACCAAGCCTTTCGACAGCGGAAAAAGTATTTCATGCATAGAATGGTATAACAAATCTTATCATTCTACAATTAAAACCACACTTCTTGAGGTTATAA